CCAAAATCTCTACCACAAAACACCAAAACTACCACCGTACCATGCCCATGCCACAGTTACAATTGCCTCCATCGAAATCACATACTCAAAATTGACGTTGTCGAGACCACCTCCACCCCCCAAGAACCTTATCCACCATCAGATCCCACCCAAGTAATCATAGTAGCCACCACATCACCAAGCCGAGAAAGACAAAGGGGAGAGGAAGTGTCCTTGTTCACTATTCTCAGAGAAGGGGTTGCAGCAGGGTAGAGTGCGATGGAGGAGCAATTGGTGCCTTCGGTGGTGATGTTTGCATAACAAAATATAATTTTGGCATTTTCACAAAATATTTAGTCAAATAATTACTTTATCTATTGTCAAAGAAGCAAAAGTTATTGTTAAAGTGGGTGTCATTGATTTGAAATACAACCAGAAGGGTATACAGTAAAGTTTTAGAATTTAGAGAAGGTGTCATTGAATTTAAACCTAACTACAGGGTTAAAAATGAAAATTTTCCTATATGCAATGGGGAAAATGTTGAGGGCAAACTAAATCGTTACAAGTTACCATTAATGTGATGAGTTTGATTTGAAAGTATAAACAATAGAGATCTCGTGAAGTTTCAGAATCGAGATGGAGTGTCATTGAATTTAAACTTAACTAAAAAGGTTGTGGATGAAAATTTTTCCATAAATTTTGTATATTTTAGGACTAGGATTGATAATTGAGTTGAACTATTCGGACTTGGTTTAGATAGGACTCTACTCAAACTTGACTTGTGTTACAAATGAGTCGAGGTTAATAATTTTTTATACTTATTTGAAAAATGAGTTTAAAAGATTTGACTCGAGCTCATAAAACTTGACTTATTTATATGTAAAATAAGCGGGCTACATGAACTCGATTTAAGTTACACTCATTTTGGACTCAGCTCAATTTCAACTATTTTTTGAACAAATTGAATTTGAACAATTTTGTAGTTTCATATAAAAATATAAATTTGATAAACTTAACTTGATTATTAAACCAATCTGTGATACGTCCGCTATTTAAAAAACACTTAAAAATGAAGAAAGATTCAAATTAAGGATGAGACAAAACAGTGAAGTAAATTAAGTATACAAGCTATAGATGAAAGCCGTGAGCCACAAGAAACCAAGATGTTTTTTCTTTTAAACGTGTAGAGACAGAACACTTAAGGCAGGCAACGAAAGTAATCTAGAGAGAGAAAGCTAGGAATGCACTCAAACCCCTCTCCACAGTAACGCCATCTGACGCCAAAATCAAAATGTACTCATTGCGATTCCGATTCTCCACGCCCAACCCATTTCCCTATAAATTTCCTCCCTAATTTTACCTTTTCCCAATTCCTCTCTCTCTCTCTCTCCATTCCTCTGAGTTTTTTAGAAAGATTGAGTTGTATACAGATTACAGACTTAAATCTTGGCATACCCATTTTTTCATGGCTAAAGAATTCCAAGAATCTGAAGTTGTTTTCCAGGAAAATGATGTGGACGAAGAGTTCCCAGGTCATTCAAATTCCTGGGAATCGCAAAACAACAAGTTGATGAGAAGGAAAAAGAAGAAGAATTCAGTTCCAGTGAAAATTCCAAAAAATGTTTCCGGGAATTCAAGGTTTCAACAGGTGGATTCAGGCTTCTTTGACGATGAACTTTGTGATGCTGATGATGGAGAGATAGTGCCGCCCCACGTGATCTCGGGGCGGCGAATCGCCGGAAAAATGGCGTTCTCCGTCTGCACTGGAAATGGGAGGACTCTTAAAGGCCGGGACTTGAGTCAAGTCCGGAATTCAATACACAGGATGACTGGTTTCATTGAAGCATAACCAAACATGGAGGAAAATAATGAAAGAAAGAAAGTGAAGAAAAATATTTTCTTTGTTTTTTGGTTAGATTTTTTACATGTAAAAGTCTCCTTAATTCAACACTCATTCATTACAATAGAAATGAAATTTAGAAAGTGTAAAATGTAAATATTAATAGGTTTTATTTTTCTTCAACTTGGTATGGGCTTTTTTTTTTTTTTTCTTCTTGTCTTTGGGATGTGTGGTCTGTGCATAATCCTTATTGCATATTGTGGGTGGGTTTAATCAGTTTGGAAGATACGGGTTGGATTATTTCGTCTACGTTAGGGTTGCTGGCTGCACTTTGTACCATTGATGGCACACTGCTTCTGTTTCTCTCATGTTTTTTTTTTGGACTTGGGCAAATCACAACATGAGCAGCTGGTTTGATTTTTTGAGAGAGAGAGAGACAGAGATTGATCTGCGAATGTTGAAATATATATATTTAAATTTCACACCCGTTTTTGAAATAAATGATTGTTTAACGTAAAATTAAAACAGAAAATTCTTTGTTCAAATTTAACTTTTCTCTAATTATTATAAAAAGATTAATGTTATTTGAATCTAAAAATTTGACTTAATTTGTTAAGATAATAATATAATTTTATATGAATTATTGGATAAACACCAAATTTCAATGTTTGATGGGATCTGTAGTCAATTCAAAAATCATAGTAAATTAAGTTAGCAAATTATGTCAGTAAATTAAATCTCAATAGCATTACTATATATATATTTACATACTAACCATAAAATTTAACTTACATGCAAGAGGCGTATTGAAGTATATATACTTACGTTACGCCCTAAGTATTTAAGTTATCCTCTTTCCACCAATTTAAGTTCTTAACTTTTAAAGTAGATAATTATTTAAGAGTGAGAAACCAAGCATCGACTAGTATCTAAGAATGGGGAAAACAATATGGTACCAATATTTATTTTTTTTGATAGCATATTAAAAAATAAAAAAAAATCCAAAAATGTAGTAAGTTTTATTCCAAAAAATAATAAAATTTATTCAAAAAATGCTAAGTGAACAAAAAAAATGATAAAATAAACTAATGAAATAAATAAATATTTAATATAACAGTAACACGACATCATAGTAAATTTTACAAAATTATATAACTATAAATAACTTTCACATTCAATAATTATTACGTGGTATTAGTGGGATTCACTTGCCTAAAAATTAGTAAATTTCCTCCAAAAGTGGTACACATACCCAAAATATTGTTAAATGGGTCAAACGCCTAGGAATGTATATATGTTGAAATATTTGACCTTGTAGGAACTACAATTTTTTTAGAGTAATATTATTTGAATTTAATTTATTGATCTAATTATTCATAATAAATGAATCAACAGTGAGTTTCAACATTTATTAAGACTTACAGTTAATCCAATAATTATGAAATATCTAAATAAAATTTTGCCCTTGTCTAGGAGAAAATATTCATTACAATGGTGATAACACATGACATGGTGATGTGGTATCACCAACTAATAATACTAAAACAAATAAACACATGGATTTCACAAAAATCAATAACTAACTAGTCATGTAAGCAAATAACTTCCTACCTTCCTGCCATATAAGTCCAAGGGGGTTCACCTTTCCTATTTAGGGTTTTATTATTGATTGGTCATATCATGTTATCAATGGTGACATGATACCACCGTTGCATTAAATATTTACTCCTTGTCTAAAGAGTGTTTTCAAGTGTAGTGATATCATAATTCACAAAGGACAAAGCATGAATAAAATAATATATATTTTTAATTACTTTTTATCACTTGTAAAATTGTTTAGAATTTTTTTGAATAAATGAATTTGTGTATTTGTTAAGGTAAGTATTATGTTAATTTTTCATTAAATATAAACACCACATAATACTACCGCTTATGTCTTATAAGCATCGAATATTTTATTAGGGACGTGAGTAGATAGCAGTGTCTTGATTTTTACACTTCACATAAAATAATTGACTTGATCTAATACTCAATGCAAGGTAATGCAAGTGTAAAATCATTAATCTAATATTTGTTCAATAGATGTGTCAATTTTATACATTAACAAGAACCCCACACAAACCCGATCCCACATAAAACTCAGAAATAATACGATTTATTGATACGAGTAATAACTTGGTCAAATTAAGGTTCGATAGAAATAACACAATTAACGGTTATTGTAGATAAAAAATAAGTATTTGATGAGTATTGCAAACAGAAAATAAATATTTTATAATTTTTTTAATAATTTTTTAAATAGTATTATATGAGTTGTGGAATTAAATAATTTTTTTTTGACACGAGCCCGACACATGACGAAAGTGACCCGACACAAAAATAACACGACTGAAAATTACACGACATGAAAATTATGTGACACGATATGATTGATATATATATATACCAATACTACTGAGCACACAGAAGTAAATATAAAAGAGTTTATTGGAAGAGTTAATTGGAACTTGAACATATAATATTTGTTCAAACTAAAATTCAAATCACAATTAACTGAAATTAACTTACAAATAGTTTATTGAAAGAAGATCTCTTTATGCATCATATGAAGATCGGATACAATAAGAAATATGAGGGAAGAGAGAATTTAGGAGTAGTTTGGTGTCGGCCAAATATTGCCTCCCAATGTTGCCTCTCCTTTGCTAAGAATGACTGAAGTCCTTATATAGGCGTAAGGATTTGTGGAGAGAACCTTTGAAATGATTTATCTTTTGACTTTTCGTGCTGCTTTAACTCAAGCAACTTGCTTTTACTTGGGTAAGATGTTTTTTCACTTTCACTTTTCCGTGAAAAATGTGGAATGAATTCCTTTTACCTTGGTAAATACTAACGTTATGTAAAAACATGTGATTGCTGAGCCCCTAATGTTGGCTTGGAATCTACTTTTGGTGGAAAAGTTGATTGACTGATGACTGCTTTTTTGCTAGAATGTAGCCTCCTTGCTGGATGATTCCATCAGGGTATGTAAAAGACAACTTTTTTTTCTTTAGGTGAAGAAAGTAGTGATTGAAATCTTTCACACATAGTGATGAGAATCATGGACTGTATAGGTCATAAGCATCATCGGGGTCTTGGGCATCCTGGAAAGGATCCAACGACGGGCTGACTAATGTCTGTGACGATGCCGAAGAGTTGTCATCTTCTTGGCCGGCTACTTGTTGGAGTAGTTTATGTCGAGCTCTTTACCCTCAAATTCAAACATGTGGGTGCAAAATGCTATCTTGCTCTATTGTTACGTAGCAATAGAAGCCTGATTATGCTGCTTCGGCGACGTTTTTTTGCCTTCTCTTCGCTCTGGACAGGAGCGCTAGTGGACACGGGGAGGGAGCAGGCAAAGCGTGTCGTTCGTAATGGAAAGAAAGATACCACTACTTCGCCTCTTTGTTGGATCGCCGGTGCGAACACAATGGTCTTTGACTAGGACCAGGAACCCATTTGAATTTGGATCTTGACATGTCGGTGGTTTTTAACCGTAGGCATTTTGCCAGGAAGTTGGTGGGCACTGAAATCCTTTCGATTGGGTCGTGCGTGGCAGCTGGTATAGATGAATAAGGCAGGCCGCTTGAACGAGACCTATTCTCTTAATAGGCGGCAAAACGGAATAGGAAAGGGGCCGGGTCATCTTCTTGGTCGACTGCTTGTTGGAGTAGTTTATGTACTAATTTAATTAGCTCAAATGACTTCTTCTTTTGTGCTTTACTGGAATCCTTAAAGGACAATTTGATTTGCTTTGTTGATAATGCTTGGACTTTTGGTGAATACACTCTGAGGGTTGACATAACCTTTTAACTGGTGTACTGGTGGTTGTTCCTGTAATCCTAATTGGAGTAGGAACTTTGACTGGGAATTTTGCTTTGACTTGGGCAACGACACGTTGGTGATCAAATCTTGGCCACCATTTGACATAATATTGCCGAACAATTGTGTTTGCTATAGTGTCATTTACAAATCCAAGGTAATTTATATTTACTCCTAAATAATAATTATATAGGAAACTGAGACTCATGTTAACTAACTTTAAAATAAAGAGAAGAAATAAGTAGTAACTTGAACTTGAATATCAACTAGAAGGATTTCAATTACGGGGCTGTGAACTTGCCACAACTGTAAAACCAGGAAGGAATTTGGCTCTTGAACTCCTTACTAAATTGTATGAACTAGGAATGAGTGTAAGACTCATCCTGATAGAGGATCAGTTTAAACCATGACTTTTTGTAGTCATAATAGCTAAACTGCTTGTTATATCCTGGAAGATCTCTAAGTAAAGAAGGGTGAGACCCCCAATCTTTTGCTGAAATAAAATTTTGTATATACAAAGAATGATATACAATTTTGCTGGGATCATTCTTATTCGGAATAGATTTAATAAAGATTGACTGGGTATGAAACTTGATATCTTAATAAAATGTGAAAGTTTTCTCAAGATCCAAAGGGATAAAAGTCCATCTTGTTTCAAGATAGCATTGACTAAATCAATGGGTTGTTTAAATGAGCATGCACTAGTTCAATAAAAAATATATTTTGGATTGTTGGCTTTAGTATATATTTAGTTCTGGGGCCCTGGTATGTTGACTTTGATGGATTAGGGTAGGTTAGCTAACTAGGTCTTGCTGAGGATATAGGTAGGCGGATATGGCTAATAACTACTTGTTGTTGGGCTTGGTAAATGCTTGCTATTGTGTTTGGGTTTACTAGGGAGGATTGGTAAGTTAGTTTGATTGAGCTACCAAGAGATTGATAATGATTTGCTATTTCAAGAGGTGATAAATGACTGGGCTTTGGATTTGGGCTAAGTAAAGCTAATTGTTTACTATCCCTCCCGTGTTTTTGATGAAATGGAAGATTTACTAGGTTTTCTATCTGCTACGAGGTTCCTGCAGAAAATTCACAAGTTAGGAAATCAGGAATAAAGTTATTACCGCCTTTAATATATTCAATATTAAAATCGAAAATACTTAAAATAGATTGTCATCGGACAAAAAATTTGCTTACTAGCAATGTTTTGTATTTCTTTTTACAAAACATATTTTGCTGATTTACAATCAACTATGACAAAAATGTTCTAATTAGTATATCATCCTGAAATTTTGAGATACATAGGACAATAGATAAAATCTTTTTTTAATGGTGCTATAATTTTTTGTGCTTTGTTCCAGATTCCAAAGTATAAATGAACAATTTGCTATGGAGAGTCTGAACTGACTTTTTGAAGAAGGATACATCATAACCAATGTCGGAGGTATCAGTCTGAATGATTTTGAAAGAATTTATTGAAGGAATATCAAGACAAGACAAAATTTTGATATATTTTTTTGACTTGTTGAACTATAGATGTATGGACTGAAGACCAAGGAGGAGGATTCCTTTGAGTCATTCATACATAGGTTTGACTATTTTTCTGAGATCCTGATAGAAGTCTGAAAATAAGTTTAAAGACCTTAAGAATCTCTGTAATTGGGTTTTGTCTGTAATCTTATTAGGAAATTTCTACTACAAATTGGACAGATCTGGCTGATAAGAAAATGATGGTTGACTGCTGATATTATATCCAAGGAACATGACTGAGGTTTGAAACAACTTAATGTTACTTGAAAGATGACTAGACTATTGTATGTGACCATATCTCTAAGAAGACATTAGGTGTTTTCAATGTTTTTCTAAAGACTTTAGAGAAGACGAGGATATCATCTAATATAGACTATTTAAGAAATGGCTTATTGGATTAATATTTTTCAATTCATTATATTGTGAAATTCATTATGTGCATT